TTTTGTAAAGCCTATAGCAGCCGTCAGAAAAAGTAGGTCGGATTATTGACTAAGTCTTGGCTCGTGACGAGATTTTCACGCCCCAAAATGAATTCAACTATTTCTAAAGCTGTTTTGTCAAGCGCACAAAGTGTTGGAATACTTGCGTCTCTTTCAGCCCACCCTGGGGGGCATGATTGACTTTGAAATATCGCAGACCGTTTAAGAAACAGAGGCACGATTCTGACTACCCACTTGTTGGTTTCCTTTTAAACACCTACAAACAAAGCAGTTGTTAAAACTGAAACTATGTCAAAATGCTGTTCATTTTTCTCTACTCCCACCCGACCTCCCCCTTCACGATGCCATGCACCATTGGCCAAAACTTGAAGACAACTTGTTTGGCACAAAGAGAAGAGGGAACGTTCTTAGTATATAAAACCCAAGCAATAACATACATGGTCGGCTGCAATAGTTATGTATTGATTCTCCACGGAAGAAAATTAACTACCGAGGCAGATCATGAAACAAGTTATACAGAACGGAAACACGTATCGATTTACAACGGCTTAACACCTTAAAGACGACAACTCACAATGAGGGGAAAAACATCTTACACCCCCTCACCCTTGCATACACATCAAGGTTACAGAATGCAATGTCACGAATAATTTTGTCAATGCCATTGCTCATGTTTCACTGCCTGCTATAAGTGTTTAAATTATTCACACAAGCACAAAGATGCACTTATAAAAGGACGCCCCGTGGGACTTTTTGTTCACAAAAGGCTGAAACGTAGAAACAAGCTAGATTGAATGAACCGAAAATATCCTTCAATCATTCTCTCTCTCTTTCTCTCTCTCTCTCTCTCTCTCTCTCTCTCTCTCTCTCTCTCTCTCTCTCTCTCTCTCTTTCTCTCTCTTTCTCTCTTTCTCTCTCTTTCTCTCTCTCCCTCTCTCACTCATTGTTGCGATTATTGTCCCCGTTCAAGGTTGTCAGTCCTGGCAAGTTAAGAGTCATTTCCTATTCTTTCGCTCTTGTTCTGTTCTAATTCTGAGAACAGCTTTACTTTTGCTCCGAAGGTTTGATTAACTATTAGCACCGCATGGGCGAACGAGGCAGATTATTCTTTTTTTACGGTGGGCAATCAGTGTAAAGAATATCTCGATCAACGATCGCCTTATTGATGTTACAGTTTATTATATCAGAGCGGACATAATTTATTAAGAGGAGTTGAAGTCATTTGTCGAGATCGAAAACTTTTATTGGTGTACCATGAGGGTGTGGCTTGGAATAATGTGAATATAAAATAGATTACTATGTTTGGTTATATTATGGCACCAAAAACATATTCCTGGAGTCAAAACTATTTATTTGTTATTACTTTGTTTTAAAAAGAACAAATATATAAACGTTCAAGCAAGAGAAATAAATACAGAGATTAACAGTAATAAATCATTTTCTTTCTTGAATATGGGGACAATTATATCTCGACCAACTATAAACATTTGTTCATCAAGAAAAAACAATTTCTCACCTGTCACAGTGTCAATTTATTCCATCTGATGCCTGTCTTTATTCTCTAAATACTTACAAAGTCAAGATAATTGTATTACTACAGCACCTTCGCCAAAATGAGTATTCTGAATTTCAAAATCTTCATTGCTTGCCAAAGTGTCAAACAAAAGTAAACGCCGTTATTAACAATCATGCTTGTTCTCAGTAACTTGCGCATGCCAAGCAGCAAAGGAGAGAGGGTTTGGGTGGGAGGGGGTGTGGGTGGGGGTTGGGGAGTAACTTACTTAGTAAATATTATTTCGAATGATATGGCCTACATGCTCTTTGTTTCCCTTGTCTTGTCAAAAATTGACGATTGCAATTCTGCTGTCTGATATCACAAAGTGTGAGAGAATGAGGAAACTGAGAAAGTGCAGGTGGCCCAAAATAACACCACAAGACTAGTACTGAAGAAAGAGAAGAAAGTTCCTGCATCAAAATGTTAAAAGCTGTGCTCTAGCATTCAGTTGAAAAAATAAAATAAAACAATATTAAGTTTCTATCATCTGATATAAATAGCTTAACAGTAATGCTCCATCATATATGTCTGAGCTTTTAACACCGTATGTTCCATCCTGTCAGTTACAGCCATCCCCAGACTCAATAAAAGTCCCGAGAATGAAATTATGACCTTTTGGTGAGAAAAGTTCTCATTCTTTGGCCTAAAAATGTGGGACTCCATGCCCCCAAACCTGCAAGAAACAACAAATGAATCCTAATACGTGGCGTCGGTGGCCTAGTGGTTAGGCTCTCGGACTCGCAACCGTAAGGTCGTGGGTTCGAATCCCG